CGCACACCTGTAATCCCAGAACTCGGGGAGGTGGAGGCAGGAGGATCACTGTGAGTTTGAGACCCGCCTGGGCTACAAAGTGAGTTCTAGACCAGCCTGAACTACATAGTGAGAACCTGTCTCAAAAAGAAACACACACAAAAAAAACAAAAGATAAAACAAGAGATGGTAGAGGGGAGGAGGGAAGGAGGAAGAAAAGAATGAAGATGTGTTACATACATGTACTAACTCCTCCCAATAAACACAACTACGTACTGCAAACAACTAATAAAAATAATAAAGCTAAATGTTAATATTGAGGAGTACTGATTATACATAGCAGGCATCACATTAAGTATATTTATTGTATACGTAAACTTGGTTCATAAGCACACTGTGAGATAAGTTTTTTTGAAAGTAAACACAGGCTGAAGAACTTGCCTAGTATCACGAAGTTACTAATAGGCAGACCTAGAACAAGGCCACCTTGCCCTGTGGCCCACAGCCTTAATCACTATGTCGTAAAACCTTGTTTCCTTCCTGCATATAAAGCCTCTTCATACACTACAACTTGGAAGCGAAGATGGGGGGATAGGGAGAGTATGGGAACCAGAAGAGGGCAATTTTTCTCAAGTGCCACCTTCTCATTTTGGAAAGAGGAAGCAGGAAAACTTTTCCCAATGGCCTTTTATGGTTGAGGTATTAAATAAAACAGTAACATTCTCAGAATATTATATTCTAATGTAGAGTTTAAAAGTGTATATTCTAGGGCTTTAGATGTAGATCAATAGCAGAGCCCTTGCCTATATGCACCCACTTCTGAAATGAGTGCCCAGTGCCACTACGCAAATATATAATTATATATATTATACATAAACTGCAGTCAACAGTTTATCAACAGCTAACCAACAGAAACCTAGTTACCATGAATAGCCAAAAAATGATAGTTTTATAAATATTGATTGAAGGCCTACTAAGAGTTACAAAGTATTCTAACAGGTGAAGATTTGGTACAATGTCACATACCGTCCTCACTATCCTTGGCTCAAACTTCCACATAAGTAAAAAAAAAAAAAAAAAAAAAAACCAAAAAAGAAACAGGATGGTCGCACAATATTCCTTTTCCTGTCTGTTGTAGAAGTGCATCAGTGCCTTACTGATCCACCAGAGATTAGGGCAGGTGAACCCAAGCTATAAGTAAAAAAAAAAAAAAAAAAAAACCTATCTAAATTATGTATATAAGCTAATTTCAAAAATAGAGAAAGGCTAGGGAAAATGAAACAGGATGACAATAGAAAGAACATAAGAGTGCTTCTTCCAAAAGACTAATCAGCAAGGAACTTACTGAGTATATGTGAGCAAAGACAGGAAGAATTGACACCAGAAAATAGGAGAAAAGTTTTCAGACAGACTAAAACACAAAATTCTGTAGGAACTGTGCTGGCAAAACCAAGAAGGCCACTAAGACTGAAATGCAGTGAAAATGAGAGCAGTTTAAGGTGAAGTTTAATCGATAGGGACTGAGTTTTATTTATTTAACTTGACTACTCATTATATTATTTTCAATCAGTTGAACATTCCTTCAACATTTTTGAACTATTGTTTCTATTTTTGTTTGGTTTACAATAGCCAAATACCCAATTATACTACATGCCTTTAATTCTGTTTAGTTATTTTCTAAGCTCTGTATATATAATTCCAAAACAAGTTGCTGAAGACCAAAAAACATAATCATTCCACAGGATTTTTCATTCAAAACAAAGTGTCCAATCCAAATGATTTTAGTGAAATGACTCAATGTTTTAATATGCAGGCAGAAAACAAGCTATTTTGTTTATCTATCCTCTACCACACAGGAAACTCAGAGGAAATCCCACAGCAATAACTTAATAGCTTTTCCCCTCTGTATCCTACTGTGGTTCATAGAAAAGGAAAAAACAACAAAGCTAATAAACTTTTAACAGGCATTTACAGGAATGTTTAAAGATATTTTACGGATGTTTTGAAGGTGATTTCATAAATTTGGAAAATTTACGATTATTTTCGTTTAATTATCAATCTTGCAAACTTTTTTTTTTTTTTTT